GACGCGTTATCTCGAAGACCAGAGGACTAATGGATGAATGGAAAAAAGTGTAATGTTGCAAAGTTGTAAGAAATGTAATGGTATTGCCTTAGTTTTGAAATGTAATTAAATTGCAAAGTCATGTTGAAATAACAGTAAGTAGTAGTATAAATGTAAAAGTAAGGGGAGTTGAATTAATATAATTAATGCAACATGGTTATAATTGTACTGATTGGTTTAAAGATTTAAAGTAATAAGTTTGATTTGCTAAAAATAGTAAAGGAGAGAAAAAAATCTAAAATAAGATGTCTAGAAGCATTATATATGATAAATTTATTTTGTTAGAGAAACATATGGTATGTGGTTTAATGGTTAGCATATTATTGTTATGATGTTTTGGATGAACTGTTCCCAGCATATTTTGTTGTTCATGAGGGTAAACAAGAAGGTTTCCCCCATGAAACTAACTTTTCCTAGGGGGGAGGTATGTGACGATCGGACCCATGTCACTCCTGTCCAGATCTTATTTGCATGAGCCTATGGGAGGAGTGGAGGGGCAGAGTTGGCAAATACAAGGTGTGGCAGAGTGAGAGTGGCAGTTAGAGAATGAAAGATTGCAGTTGGAAATAAGATCAAGAGAGATAGACAGAGAGATAGTAAGAAGATAGAGATAAGCTGGTATAGAAAAACAGATATATAGATAGAGCAGGTGGTGGCAAAAGGTATATGATACTGAGTTGATTGTATGCACTGAATAAATAACATCTGTGATTCCAATATAATTTAATACACTTCAATAAATCAATTATCTTGGCAGCAAGTGTCTGAATAAAGTATTTTACGTTGTGGATAATGGAAATCCACTGGTGGCAGTGAGAAAGAGAAGTAGCTTCTCAATTGATATCTGCTGGTGAGAGGACGGCGTGAGCCTCTGTTTGAGGAAGCAAGGGTCACATGGTAAACATCACAGTCACCTCTTCCCAAAAACTACAGAAATGCAAAACTTTTAAAAGCTTTTACTAATGATTACCTGATGTATTTTATTCTTAGTACTAAACAATGCTCAACAGTCAGTATTTCCAATAAGCATAAAATAGGAATGAATGAGCAAGGAGAACAGATAGTAAAAGAAAAGACACTGGAAGAATTTTAAGTTTGTGAGGAAACTTGAGGGGAAAAAGCAAAAACGCTGTGAATTGGTTTATTCGGAAGTGCTAGTTTTCCACAGACTCAAACCACCCCCCCCACATCATACCTGAGTCCCTTTTATGTACAACAGAGTGAAAATTAGCACTACTTTCCCTGTTGAGTATTCAGATGTTAAACAAAGTCACCTAGACTATGCTTAATTCAGCATCCTTTATATACAGGAGAAGTCTTGGTAATTGGACAACAAAGAATCAGCCATAGCTCCAACAATGCTGGTTGGTCTTTATTTACAGAAAACAGCTTTCAGGCTATACAACATTTGGACTATCAAAACCATTTGTATCCGCCTTCAGTTCCAACAACATTAGTTGGCCTTTATCTATAGACACAGCTTTCAGGCTATAGGCTGAAAAGCAGATCACAGGAAATAAAACTACTTCTTATAAATGAAAAATATCAAACTCTTCAAAAGTGTAGTGCTTGGAAAATCTCAGAGAAAAGAGGAATTCCGAATAGTCAGGGAGATACAGGGGAGGGATTAGAGGGAGAGCCAGACAAAGAAAAATTTGAAGCACAGAAAATTAGCCTAAAACAAGGTCAAAAACACATATATACTATTTCTTCATACTTCAGGGTCAAAACAACAACAAAAGGCAATACAATTTATTGAGAGAAGCACAAGTCCTCAGGAACTCACAGATATCACACTCACAACAAACATAAGGAAAAATAATAAGGCAAATGTTCAATATTTTCTCACCCCTTTTCCTTTGCTATTTATTGTTTTCTTGTTCCTTGGGATACCCTGTTTGGAAACCCTTCTTGGGAAACCCTGCTCCTTGGGATACCCTACTCCTTAGGATACCCTGCTCGCTGCGCCATTTCTGTCACAAAAGGGTAAATACTGGATCTTTTGTATCCCAAGAAGAACAATATTAAACAGCAAAGGACCTCACAAGACACATTAATAAATGCAAAATGAATATACAGTGATGCCCCGCTTAACGATTACCCCGCTCCATGACGAAATTGCTTAAAGATGAGGTTTTTGTGATCGCAATAGCGATCACAAAACAATGTTTAAATAAGGAAAATCCGCTTGATGATGGTCGGTTCCCTGCTTTGGAAACTGATTTTTCACTTTACGATGATCAAAACAGCTGATCGTTGGGTTTTCAAAATGGCCGCCCACTGTTCAGAATGCTCCCTGCTGTGTTTAGGGAGGATTTTTTGCTTTACAGGCACCGGAAAATGGCTGCCCTATGGAGGATCTTCACTAGACACTGAGGTATTTCGCCCATTGGAACGCATTGAGCGGTTTTCAATGCATTTCAATGGGCTTTTTACTTTCGCTTGACGACGATTTCGTTCTACAGCGATTTTGCTGGAATGGATTATCATCATCAAGCGAGGCACCACTGTACTTTATTACCTATTGATTATAATTCTAAATAAAGGGGTTCCATACATTCAGCACATTCACACCACATACATACTCACCAAAGACTGAAAAATTCTTTATTTGGAATGTCCAAGTTCCAAAGAAAGTAGTTAGTTTCGAAAGCCTTTTAGTCTAAGGAGACAAATTATGGTTGCCCAGACCCTCTTTTCATAATTTTTAGGCAGGTTGCTAGCTGGGCATGCACATTAGATGTTTCTCTGTTTCCCCCTAGATATATGGTCCTTATCACTTAATGTGAAGTGTGGAATGCTTAATGTGTCTTCCATCACTTAGTGGGCATGTGTGCAATGTGCTTGCTCAGGAGGATCCTCATACCACGGTCTTCTTAAGACCCCGGGTTTGCTCCACTCCCTCAGCAGCAGATGTGTTCTGTCAACTTACTGAAAGCATAGTTCAAAAAGTTCAATAGTTGAATTTCTTACTATGAGGGCTTATAGCTAGAAATACAAAGTCCCATAGTCCCTCTCGGTTTTGTTGGTCTCCATCTTTGTGCCCTAACTCTCTTTCTCTGGTTCTTCACCTGATCCAGGCCAAACATGCACACACCTTACAGAGATGTGAGCATGGCATGGGGGTGGGTGGGGACTGAACAGTAAAATATGGCCAATGGGATTCAGTTAAAATCTTGCGTGAATTAGGAAACTTCCTGGATACCAAATTGAAGAAGACAACGAGCTGAGTTTGGTGACTTCTTGGTTGAGTATAGTGTATACATTGAGCAAGGCTGAAAAAAATGCTGGAAGTGTTTTCAAGCTCCCCACCCCCCTCACTGCCGCTTCACAAATTATTTGGTGACTAACTACAAAAGTGAATTTCTACCAGCTAATATGTGGCCCTCATGCTTTCAGTCTCCCCCACCCAGGGATGGGAAGTAGACACTGGGGGAAATTCATTGATAGAACAGCTATGCAACAGGAAAGTGAATTACACCCGTCCCAGGCTCAGTCTGCTGCAGACAATAAAGGAAATCCAGCACAACTAGCAGCAATGTCACCTTTATGTCTGCGGGGTTGCCAGGTCATGTGTTCTAGATAGGCTTTTTTACCCTTGCAGGTTCCTTAACTAATAATGACAAAGACAACAGGTGGCTACGAGCCATGAATATACTAGGTACTTGCTATATTTTTATGAAACTAACAAACACAGAGCTTTTAGACATGCCAGCAGTATGGGAAGGAGGTCCTAGTCAATCCTAGCACCATTTTATATCCTAGATTTAAATGCTGCACTTTTTGTTTACGAAATCGAGCTGTTTCATATGGCCTTCTGCAAATCATACATATGATTGCTCAGTCAAAAGACCTGAAACAACCTGCAATCCCCCATTTTCTTGTCTGTGGCTGAGGAAGTGGGGGATTTGTTTCCTAGCAAGTTAATAAGATGCTGAGGGCTGTTGATACAAGAGGAAGGCATGGCTACTCTCGCTGTGTGATCTGGTCACTCTTTTCCACTACATGACAAAATACTGATTTCCTCTTTATATGAGGCTCAACCCTGTAGATCTCTAGTCAAGGGGATTGTTTTGGGACAATGCTATATTCTTCCCTTCCCTTTTCAGCACCATGTGTGTATTTGTGTGCAAATGGTAAAAGGAGATGTGAACTACTGAGTATAGGATGTACTAGGCACTGGCACTCTCACAGCATCCATGCCTTGATGATGTTGTGTTGTGTGGGGTGTTGGAAAACATATTGGGGGTGATCTGGTCACTGTGACTGGGTTGGATTCTTTCCCAGTTGACTAATATGCTGGTTATTTCTGCTCCTTCAGCCCATAACCAGCAAGAGCTGGTAGTGTTGTCAAGAAGACTGACACCACAACCGTTCTGTCTGGGGTTGTGTCCTAGCATTTTAATTTCTCTCCTTGTTTGGCATGAAGATACATACTGATGTAATAGCAGCACCACTCTTTCTTCAATAAGACAGTACTGTATAGGATTTCTGTGTCTGGTTATAAAACTATGCAAATACTATGCTATGCAACTTTCCTTTGAAGTAAGTACTGTGACGGTAGCGATGATGTCATCTGCCTGTCATTGCTGTGGCTGGAGTTCATCTGCCTATAGCATGACGGGAGGTGGGACTTCAGAGGGTGGAGCCATGGTATTTAAGGGGGGAGTGAATGAGGTGTGAGTCAGATAGGGCTTAGATAGGGTCCAAGATAGGGACATGATATGAACCAGATAGGGCTTGGATAGGGTCTGGTAGGGACTTAGGGAGTTAGGGCTTGTATATGTTATAAAGTACTGTGTTAGTGAAGGTCTGAGAGAGAGTGTGTATGAGGGGATACTTTATTATTACTGATTGCCTTTTTATTTTAGTTGATAAAGTGATTTATCATTTCTTCTGTTATTATAAATAAACACAAGTTTTTATTTTAAAAGTCATTTATTTGCCTGAAGAGTCTCAGATGAAGGAATGGTTGGTGGCAGCGTGAACAAAGTGTGTGTGAGAGTGACGTGACACCTCCTTTGTGACGTGAGAGAAGGCCGTCACAAGTACCACTGAATTAAGCTGGATCTAATTTTGAGTAGGCATGCAAACAATCAGGCTGTCAGCCATCCCTGCTGTGAACCAAAGTAATGGATGAAGACATTCCGTGATAGTTCAGGTATGTGACCCGTGTCCTATTTGTTGTCCACCTATAACAGAAACCAGGTAGTATCTGTAACATATGTAAACAGAATAACACCGTAGCTTTATAGCAAGGGAAGCAAGAAGAAAAGCAAAGAACTGGAAGTGCTAATTTGGAAACAGCTTGCATGTAATGGTAAAGCTTCCTCCACTAACAGCCCTGCCCTGTCAGGCAGCACATATCCTTAATGTATCTTTTTTTGGGGGTCCGGTATGCACTATTGATTTAGATTAATGGCCTACTGCCAAAAATAAATGGTTGCAATAACTATTAACTAAGTGTGTGTCATAGCATTGTTAGATACTACATGCTCTTCTGTCAGCATGCTCTTGTCGGAAAATTAATCCTACAAACAGTAATTCTGAGTCAGCTTGGTCTAATCAAGGAGAAACTCTTGAATTCATAGGAACAAATAAAGGTGCAATAATTAGCCTAGGGTTAAGCAAGGTACATTCAGCTTGTCTTTAGTTCTGCAGTAACATGGCTCTATTAGAGTGTCAATCAGACTTGCAAACAGAGTCTGTGTTTACTTTTCAATGACCAAACACAAAACAAGTCCACCAGGTGCAGAAATGCGGCTGGACAAGACTACAGTACAAGGTAACTCTGTACACATATTCAGCCCCTAAATTTGTATGCAGTAGGAGAACTAGGGAAAACACAGTCCCATGTACAGTAGTAGATAGTGTGATAGACTAGGACTATCTATTACTGTAGGCCTGGGTTCAAATCCCCACTGAGCAATGAAAGTTCACAGGAGGATGGGAGTGGAACTACTAAAACCTACTTTGAAAGCCCTACATGTTGGTTCTGACTTGATGGCGCATAACCACAATAAAAACAGGAGAACCAGAGCCTGCATACGAACCTGTTCTTCAGTCCAATTTAGGAGGAAAAAGGCTGTTTGATTTTATGATTACTAAATTCCTGGGAAAGCCCTTGATAATCTAGTACCAATCACTTAGAAAAATCTAACAGTAGATCCTGGTGTAACATTTACCTGCCCTTCTTCTGATAACCCAGCTCTAATATTTTAGGGATCAACTGAGAAATCTGGAATAATCTGGATGCAAAGGGCAATCACCAGAAGTGAAGATATTTGTCCTTCTTTCTCCACCTCAACATGTATCCCAGATCTGGATATGTCCTGGAGTTTGGACTTTTCCACCTCATCCTTTCATAGACCCGAGAGACCTGAAAAGTCCATGTGTCCTTTACAGGACGCTAATCTGAATAGCTCTGCTGCTACTGTATGGCAACACATAGCAAGCTTTGCCTGGATAAAATCCCAAGCTATTAGCAGGAAGGCAAGGGTTAGTTTGAGATATGCATGCAGGAAGTCTATGCATTGGTTACCTTTGCTAGTCAGGGACTGTTGATGTCTACAAATTGGGTGGTAATCCAAGCAGTCCACTGGTTTGTACACTTCAAAAAAAAAGTGCAATTAGAGATATACATTTACAGTTAGGGATTAGTTTAATATTCGAAATATATCTTTGCTTTTTTAAAAAAATTTTTGTTAGGCACTTATTATGATTGTAATAATTGCACTATCCAATGTGTGAGTTCTCTCTCTCTCTCTCTCTAAAACAGAATGAATTTATAATTCTTTGCTGTTGCAGCCTGACATCTTTGCAACGATGTGAGGACTGTGCCCACTGGTTTTATAGGTAATTTCAATTTGCTGCCTTGTCTGTCTGCTTTGCCTGTCATATCTGCTCATTTCAGGATGGTGTGGCCATGTGTGGTGACAGCCATACTGTGCGTGGCAACACACAGGCCTAGGAATGCATTCCATAGATGGAGGCCCACAAAAGAGGAGACCTCCTCGCCCTGTACAATGTGTGAGTTCTCAGTCTGATACAATGACATTTCGAAGCAGAGAGTTTCAGTGAAACCTGGACTTTGCCTACATAATTGAATCAAACTAGCTAGAATGAAATATTGGCTGCCTTTATACCTATCTAGAAACATGAGTTTTGTTATTTATTGTATGTATTTTATTTTGGTGTTGCATTATAGCTAACAGGAAAACAAGTACCTGATGGCATAAGTAACCACAGAAGTGCAAAACCAGGTTGCTAATGTGACAATCTGTTGATTTACCTGTGTGTTGCAGTAACTGGAATAGCTACATTATGAACATCAGAAGGGAATCCCCCCAGCTGTGTGCCAAGGCCAGGTGGCATTACTGAAGGCCACATGGAAAATCCAATCTGAGATGGAACACCTGAAGGTGTGTACAGATGATGATGTACTGTTGATGGACGTGACTTCTCTGGTCTTACCAGAACAGGAGCACTAAACTTGGATAATTTAGAAAGATGAGCATTTGTTAAAAACCCATAGAGATCATGGCAGGCAACATGAGTTTCTAATACAGAAGCATGCCCAGTTTGCCACTTTATGACTTACTTCTCTATTTTTCAGACATACAGACAACATAACCTCTATTTGACTGAGATTGATCAACTTTTTTTAACATAACCTTAGTTCCCACTGCAACAAATGATAGAAGCAATTAGTCTTCCCTTTTTCTCACTGTGGTGGCTTCCCCCCCCCCTTTGTTCTTTTTAGATAAAAGACCCTATCAAATGTAGGCATTTCCATACTCAGAATACAACAATTCACTCCTTGGTGCTTCATTTGTGCATGCTCCCATCTAGGGTGGCCGCATGTCATCTTCCAGGGAGGATATTCTTCTATTTGAAGGACTAGCAGAGGTAGTATGTTTTCAGGTTGGCCTCATTTGAAGGCCTGACTCTTCTGATTTAAATATAAACATTCACAAGGAGGAACTCTAATGCACATCAGCAGAGTCTTGTAGCTGAAAATGTCATGCCTACTGCTCCCATGGGGGCTCAGGTTTTATTCTGGTTGTGGCCATGGGTTAAGACATTTTTCTGGACTGATAGACAAAGTCTTAAGCCCAAAATAGGAAGGAGAAAAGTAACCTCTTCCCAAACCTCAGACCACAATTGCATTCCCATCCCAGTAGTGCCAGAGTCAGATGGACTGAATGAGACTTCTGGCTTCTCAGCTGCCTTCAGTTAATATTCAAATTTTATTTTATATTTTAAATAAGATTACCTGTTGTCCATAGTGAAGCATAGGAATCCCATACCCATTAACTGGTGAAGAAGCAGGCAATGGCAGAGATTTCAGCATCATGTTCTGCATAATGATTTGGTGCATCTGTGCATTTTGCATTAGCATCATCTCCACCATATCTATGAAAGCATGGAGAAGAATATTAAGAGGCTTCTACTTGCTGATGACATAGAAAAAGATAAATAGCCTCTAAATCTATTGCCATTGGCCATTCTCTGCACAGCTTTCAAAGCCAGTGAGATCCCACACACTCTCCCCTGCTGCCTAGCTGATTAGGCTCCAGTTGGGCTGGAGTGGGGAAGGGACTGTTGGGGCATTGGAATACTTTTTCACTTCTACACACATGAGAAAAAAGGGAGGAGAGGTTTAAACTTCTTTGTTCCTTTAGGCTGAGATGTATGTTGGAGTCTGTTTGTATGTGTGGTGGTGAATGCATCTGTGTGCAAGGGTGTGACCGTGTAAGATTATTGTTTCACATCCCTGCCTTAAAGATTACACATCCCTGTTCTAAAGATTTCATATTTTGAGATTAGTGCCCTTTTGGAATAAAAACAGTCCAAGAGTAACTAGGTTTAGGTTGTGATGTTCTTATTTTAAACCAAGAAAGCTAAATGATATAAGCAAATTAGTAAGTGTACAACTGCAGAGCAGTGGTACATGAAATAATTAAAGATGTGGCTAGAATTCCTTGTGTGCTTCGGATGGATTCCAAATGCACTGTCAATAATCAGTCCATCTGAGATTATAAGGACAGATCTAGCTAAAGAACTATCCATTCATTATGCGGAAAACAGACGTGAAGAAATGTAATTGTTCTGGATAATGCAGAGTACATCCACATTATCCTATTACTAAGGGTCCAGCTATTTGTAGCATGAGAAACAAGAATAATAGAATCATAGAAAAGGCCATCAAGTTCAATCCCCTGCTCAACACAGGAATACAGTACAATCAAAGCATATCTGCCAGGTGATTATAGTTTTTCTTGAATGCCTCCAGTGTTATCTTTGGATCTTTCCTTTCCCAAAATAGGAAACAATTTCTGTATGCTATATCTTTCCCCTCATGGGTGGGACAGAAGCTGGTGGGACCATTTTGAAAACAGCTCTCCTCAGCATCTGTTTCAGTCAAATTCAGACACCACACATACTGTAGCTGCATTACCTTTTTTCCGACAAACTGGGAAACACTTTAGAATTCTCCTATGATATATGATCTTAAAGCAAGTTGCTGAAATGGGATTTTAGTCATTAGGCAAGGAAGAATGTCGCCCAGATCATTCTGCTCATTATGTTTCATGGGTACTGAAAAAAAGGTAAGAAGACATCCTGGATGTCTTGTTACCGGATCCTTCCTTAACCACTTATTGTGAATGTGGTCACAATCTCATTTATAGCTTTTTTTCAAAGTCACATAAGACCTCTCTTTTCCCTGCAAAGAAACATTTCACACATTGTTAATGCAAAGGTAATGTAATGTAATTTGTATTAATGTGAGTAATGCAAAAGGTTAATATGTCTTTGTTGATGTAAGAGTAATGTGATATATCCTTAGTGATGTAAATAATATAAGAGGTTGATATTTGTATTCTTTCATAAACCTTCATTTGTTTATGAGGGCAAACTGTTAAGTTTTCACTCCTAAAACAAACTTATTAAGGGGGGAGGAATGTGGTGTTCGCTCAGTTCATGAATCATTAGGCATCCTTCAGTCTCGAAAGACTATGGTAACGTGCTCTGAATATTCATATACTATTTGCATGGACCAATGGGAGTGCTGGAGAGGCAGAGTCATGAGGTATAAGAGACTCAGCAGGAGGAGGAGGAATTTAGATAAGGGTCAGATAGGGTTTTGAGATGGAGAATTAGAGTGTTCGAGAATTTTGGAGTTTGGGTGGGAGAATGGTGGTTGAGGGTGGATAAAGAAGAATGTTTGTTTAAGAGTTAACATTGCTTGCTCTGTCAACACCTGTATTAATAAACAATTTCTATTTGGTTCTTTTTAAAATGGCATATGGCCTGGACATCTATAATTAATAATAGGTACTGCTGATGAAATCAACTGGTGGCAGCTGAGGGGCATGTTGCGTGAGCTCTTTGGTTGGTGAAACAATCAGGGGCTATGTGGAATCGTGACATTATACAATCATAGCTGTGGAGATTATCCTGCTGCACTTTTACTTGGAAGCCAATTCCGCCAACTTTGGTCACAATTACTCCCAGCACAGATGGGCAGAGCGCAGCCAGTGGGCTGTATGCCACCCCTCATCCTCTGAAATCACCACTAATAATAATGATTTCTGAATCATTGTACACACAGTAAGTGCAAACTGGTGGCACTATTAGAAGAAAAAGTGAGTGAACTGGAGCACTTAATCGCCACACTTAAGGCTATAAGGGAAGACAAAGTATACTCTTCAGCAGCTGCTGCAGGCAATGGAGGTACTGAAGGGGGGAGAGCAACAAGGGAAGGCAGAGGAAGGGGAAAGAGCAAACATAATGGAGGAAGCACCATGGAAAAGAGTAACAGTTAGGAGCAAAAGAAGGAGAAGACTATATTCATTGGTGGAACTGTGAAACTGCTTTCAGGTTCTGAGTGAGGTACCTGGGAGATAGCAAGCAGACAAAGTCAAAGAGAAGACCTCACATGAGTATATGAGAGGGACTGAAACCCAGACAAGTAGAGGCACTGAACTCACACCCTACAAAGAGAGGAAGGGAAGAGTAGTTGTAATAGGAGACTCCCTACTGTGTGGGATGGAAACTGAAGTATGCTGGGAAAATCCATGGACCCACCGGGTAGGCTGTCTCCCTGGAGCACAGATTAGGGATGTGACAGAAGGACTGCCACCACTCATAAATCCACAGATACATATACTTTCCTTCTCATTCATGTGGGAACAAATGATGCAGCCAACAGCAACTTCAAAGATACCACATCAGATTTTGAAGCTCTAGGACAGAAACTTAAGGACTTTGGAGCCCAGATAGCTTTCTCATCCATCCTACCAATATTTGGAAGAGGAATAGAAAGGAAAAGGAAAATACTCCAGGCGAATGACTGGCTACAAGGTATTGAAGTGAGGGATTTGGATTTTTGGGATCACGGGCTAGGTTTTCTAGATGATGGGCTGCTAGGAGGAGATGGCTTGCACCTCATAAGGACTGGGAAGAATGTGTTTGGCCACATCATGAAGAACTTCAGCAGGAGGGCTTTAAACTGAATTGGAAGGAGGAGGGAGACACAAGCACAGAGATAAAGATATGATCAATAAAAGGAACAGACCAAACAGATCTAATGCGGTCAATAACAACATTAACATTAATAATAAAATTCACAAAAATGTACAAGGAAAGCAAGCGACAAATTACACAATCTCCAGTGTCTATATACGAATGCCAGGAGTATGGGAAACAAATAAGATCTGGAAATCTTACCTCAGGAGGGTAAATATGACTTGATAGGAATAACTGAAACTTGGTGGGATGACTCCCATGATCAGAATACAGTAATTGAAGATTATAAAGTGTTTAAAAAGAACAGAAAGAATAGAAAGAGAGGTGGAGTTGCAGTATATGTAAAAAAATACACACTCCTGCACAGAAATATAGGAGGAGGAATTGGCTGTCCCATTGAGAGCATCTAGATCAATGTAGTTGGGGCATAAAACAAAAGGAGTATGTATGTATGTATGTATGTATGTATGTATGTATGTATGTATGTA